ATAATTTTATAAACTTTGGTTTGTAAGGTATTTCATGAAGAAAGATTATAGTTTACTCATTTATTGGATGTTAGGTTTATTTCTAATTTTTTTTATGTAAATCACTTTGTGTAGCTGAGCTTTTCTGTATTTGATTTTTCATTTTTATTTCATAAGCTTCTTTATAACTGATACATGTATAATATATATTGCTATACTTAAGACCATGTAAGAAGACAGACAGCTTCAAGTAATTTGTTGTTTTCTTTCAGGTTATAGTTATGAGTGCTACACTAGATGCAGGAAAATTCCAGATTTACTTCGATAACTGTCCTCTCTTAACTATTCCTGGGCGTACACATCCTGTTGAGATCTTTTACACTCCAGAACCAGAGAGAGATTATCTTGAAGCAGCAATTCGAACAGTGATCCAAATTCATATGTGTGAAGAGGAAGAGGGAGATCTTCTACTTTTCTTAACTGGTCAAGAGGTATTGTCATTATTTGCTTCATTATTTAGCCTTCGGCATATTATTTCTATTATGCAGAAACTTTAAACTTAAGAATTTGGCATATATTAACCATATTTTTCTTATCCCAACAATTTTCTTCAACCTGATTGTATTAATATGTAAAGTATATAAGCTCTTTTATTTATATACTCTAAGAATACCTTTTTATACCTCCAGTGTTTGTGTTATAGCTAGTTATCCTAAGAGTGTTAAGTACTTTTAGAATTTCAGGATTTAGCGATTGTAGTCTGAGCCTTGGAGAGGTCTGGGTTATAAGTGGTGTTTTGCTGAGACATGAATTTGCGTCACAGCTGGTTTTGAAATGAGGTTACCTTCATCAGTTACTTAGTTTGTGAGTGAACTGGGCTGCCCATCCATCATCAAAACACTTGTGTGTTTTGTTTTGTCATCTTCCATGTGCTCACTGAGGATTGGAAGGAATCACAAAAATTTCTTAGAACTTAACCTAATTTTTAGATATAAATTTTATTCTCAAATACAGCGTTTCCTAAACTCATTTGCAACAGGGTCTTTATAGGTATGCTGTGAAATGTTTGAGTGGCTAAATAAATTTAGGAAAAGCTTATTTGGGTAAAACAATTTTTGGAAGCATTTTAGTAAAGGATTTCTTAGAGTTTTGCTCAAATAGGCTTCGTGAATTTTGTAGAATATGCTTCTGAAATGAATGTACATGCAGATCACTTAGAAAACTTAGAGATTTTGGGCCAGGCATGGTGGCTCGTGCCTGCAGTACCAGCTATTCGGGAGGCTGAGGCGGGAGGATCACTTGAGCCCAGGAGTTTGAGGTTGCTGTGAGCTAGGCTGACGCCAGGACACTCTAGCCTGGGCAACAAAATGAGACGCTGTCTCAAAAAAAAGAAAGAAAGAAAGAAAGAAAACTTGCAGATTTTGATTCATTAGGTCATGATGGGCCCTGAGAGTCTACATTTCTAATAAACATCTTGATAATGCTGGTGCTCCTCAAGGGTTGAATGGCAGGATTCTAGAGCACAGAACTTTCTATAATGCTGGAAGTATTCTGTATCTTCTGTTCGCTAGGGTGGCCACTAACAAAATAGGGCTTTTGAGCATTGAAATGTGGCTACTAAGAAGAAGGCCTAAATTTTTTGTTTCACAGAATATTAAATAATTTAAATTTAAATAGCTACATGTGCTGATCCACCCCCATTTTTGTTTTTTTATGGGCCACTTAATTAAGAGTTGCTTTTACATTTTAAGAGAGTTGTAAATTTAAAAATAATATGCAAGAGAGATGGTACATGAGTGTAAAGCTTAAAATGTTGTGGCATCCTTTACAATGAAAGATTGACTTCCGCTCTGGAATATTTTTCCCCAAGTGTGGTCAGTAGATTGCCTGCCTGAGAGAAGAGAATTTGTTAAAACAAGGCAGTTTCTTACCTCTGTTCCTGACTTGGTGAAACTGGTAAAATTTGGGAGTGAAATATAGAAATCTGCATCTTCAACAAGCTCCTTGGGCCATTTTTATATTTCCTTTATTTTAAGGGTCACTGTTCAGAGGAGTATTTTGGCCAATATGATATGATGCCTGTGATACGTTGATGATGCCCTAAACAGTGTTGTGGGAAATTGCTCTAGTCTCTCTCAGATATCAAAGATCTGCTGTGTGACTGCCTCCCTACACTAGAATGTGAGCTCTTTCTGTTAGATTCTACAAGGGTGCTTGGTACATAATATTTGAGCAAATGCTATTGGATTAACACTGTAAGCATCAAATAATTTTTTCTATCCTTGGATTTCTTCAGGATTGTCCTAATGATTTGTGCCACATTGGCCATGGTTTTCTTTCTGTAGAGCAGGGTTTCTCAACCTCAGTGCTATTTACCCTGTAGGTTAGTTAATTCTGTGTGGTGAGGGACACCGTTCATTGTAGGACATATCAGCCTCCCTAGTGTTCTACCCATTAGATGCACTAACACTCCTTCCCCTGGTTGTGACAACCAAAGGTGTTAGCAGACATTGCCAAATGTCCCCTCAGGGGCTGCAAAATTATTCCCAGTAGAGAAACATACTTGTTCTTTGGGGAAATAAGATGTGTTGCAAATTTATTTTTCCATATAAAGGAAGTTACCCTCTCTTGGTACTCGTTTTCCTTTTTATCCATTTCAAATGGAAGAATTTTCATATATTTCGTAGGCAAGAGTACCAAATGGTTTTTTGATGGCGTGCAAATGGCATTTATACTGCGATGCAGTATTGAGGCTGTTGAGATGCTCATTTTGTCCTCTTGTGTCTGGTCTCTGGTTTCTCACTTCTTCCAAACTGCATAGTGTATTTTCATTTTCTTAATGATTATTTAAAATTGTTAGCGTACTCTGATTAACCCAAGCAAATTGGAATTCTGTCAAATATCAGATGGCTGGCTTCATGGTAAGGACCTGAAAGGTTTTTCTCTGAGACAAGTTGTTTTTTTTTTTTTGGAGACAGAGTCTTGCTCTGTCACTCAGTAGACTGCCATGGTGTCAGCCTAGCTCACAACAACCTAAAACTTGTGGGCTCAAGTGATCCTCCTCAGCCTCCCAAGTAGCTGAGACTATAGGCATGTGCCACGATGCCTGGCTAATTTTTTCTGTTTTTAGTAGAGGCAGAGTCTTACTTTTGCTCAGGCTGGCCTTGAACTCCTGTGCTCAAGCAATCCTACCCCCTTGGCCTCCCAGAGGATTACAGGGATGAGCCATCTCACTAGCTGAGACAATTTTTTGCAGTTCATATTTTGGCGACTGAATGACATAGCTTGGGAAAGGTGGAAGTAAACAACATAGTTTACGGATGTGTGCTGGAGTGTATATCATTCACGTAATAAAGGGCTACGGTAGTTGTGAACTGTTTACATAATAGTGCTTCTGTAGCTATTGAAGTTCATTTGGGAAGGAGAGAGACTGGTTTAAATTGGTGCAAAGTTGAGAAAGATTTGAATTCTAGAATGTTTTTAAGTTATTTTAATGCATAATATCTGGACCTAATGTTTAAAATTGTTGCCTAATAGTAAGTCCTTAGGGAAGCTACTCTATCGAATTAGGTAAGAGTGATTGTAATTGAAGTATCAGTTGTTTTAAAAGTAGATACTTGAAGTTGCTGTGAAACCCTTCATTCCTTAGGCAACAAATTCTTTTATCTTTAGTTTTGTTTAGTAAAATACTTCTTTCAACATACACTGAGTTCATAGGTAAAGGCCAGATTAATGTAGTAACATATATTGATGCTTTGGGGGCTAAAAGTCTTTTCTCAAATCAGAAATTCCCAAACTTCTGTCTTAGTATTGCTGATGACTAAGCAGATGACTGCTGCATGGAAAGTGAACCTTCCATTTCTTTCTCTCTGTTTGTGTTTATCTTCTGATGAATATAGATGAGTTTTGTGGCATTCTGAACTTTTAGTGTTGACTCTGGAAGTTTGGTAAACTTCAAGGGGTAATTTTTATTGCAGAGTTTTAAAGTTGTGTTTAGAACCTTGTTTATAAAAACACATTAAGTAGTATGGGATTTTTCTTCCGTACTTTAGAGATGCCTTTATATCCCACGCAGTTGTCAATTTATTTTATCTCCATGCATGCTTAGCAGATTAGGTAGTCTAGTCCCTCCATTAAAGTTGGAATTTTCATCTTGAAATGCTAGACTCATAAAGCAAATGTATGATTTGGGTGCTTGATTTTTTAGTATGTGAAATCTGGGTATTTCATGACTTTTGACCATATATTTGCCGCTTTATATGGTAAAATTAACAAAATCGCACATACTCTGGGTGTTGGTAATTTAGTTTTGTATATGTGTATAAATTTTTTTTTTTAATTTGGAGAACTCTTAATTTTGTATTTGCATGCCAGCAGGGGGCATTCTAATCTAGATACAGCATTTCAAAGTAATTTTTTTCTAAAAATATTTGTTTCATTTCTTATATTTTTTCTTTTGATGAATAGCATTCTACTTTCCTTTTCTTTTAGAAACTTGATCTCAGGAGGGGAAACTATTAACATCAGATCCTTGTTAGCAATTTTCTGTGTCACAATTTTCAAGACAGATAACCTTATGTTATGAAAGAAAACTGATAATCGAATTAGGTGGAAATAATTTTTTTATTCTTACTGTATTTAAGAACTTTGTGTTTAACATGGAAACAAAATTGTGATTTGATTTAAAATCACTTAAATGAAAATTAATTTGATATAATAAAAATACAGAATAAATTTACCTAGAATTTCGTCTACCCCATTCATATCATTCTGTCTTTTGAACAAAAGATAATTTGTTAATGAGGATAGCTTCTGATTGGGTCGTTCATTGGGTAGGCTACCTAGTATATATTATAACAAGCTGTTTGACATTTCTGGGTGTAGTTGAAATAATGCTTCAGTTAAATTTAGAACACATTTGCCGGCCATGCTCCCCTCCCCATTTTTAAATCTCTTTCCCACTCTAAAAATTCCACTCCCCATATTATAATTTTTCCTTTTAAACTTTGATTTGACTGCAAATGTATTGGAATACAGTCATGTGCTACATAATGGCGTTTTGGTCTTTGACAGACTGCATATATGGTGGCCACAGTGCCATGGTCCCATAATATTTATAATTGAACTAAATGTAGCCTTGTGGCTGGGCGCGGTGGCTCACGCCTGTAATCCTAGCACTCTGGGAGGCCGAGGCGGGCGGATTGTTTGAGCTCAGGAGTTCGAGACCAGCCTGAGCAAGAGCGAGACCCCGTCTCTACTAAAAATAGAAAGAAATTAATCAGACAACTAAAAATATATACAAAAATTAGCCAGGCATGGTGGCACATGCCTGTAGTCCCAGCTACTCGGAAGGCTGAGGAAGTAGGATTGCTTGAGCCCAGGAGTTTGAGGTTGCTGTGAGCTAGGCTGACGTCATGGCACTCTAGCCCAGGCAACAGAGCGAGACTCCTGTCTCAAAAATTTTTATTAAGAAATTTATTTAAATGACAGA